AACAAAGTACATATTGTGCATACACGGAAATAATAGTCGAATGGGCAAAATGTGATAGCAAACCCCAACCCATACACATCATAAAAACATTTAGACCATCTTGTCTTTAACCAAATGTCTAAAGTTATAAAGCTTTTAACAGAAAACCACTGACATTGGTTCCTCATTAGGTTTCCAACCAAAGTGTCTTTGCTGTCTCCTGTATGTAGCCGGGGTTTCTCACCAAAGGGTTCCGCTCTCAACTCAGTAGCTTACTTAGCCTGGGCTGTTGAAACACCCCTGCATGGAATAGAATCATTAGCATATTCTTTTAATAAATATTTCTCTTACAATAAAGTACAAATTTGAGGTTGATTTTGATCAAATGTTTTTAATTCAGCTTCTATTACTGCATTAGGTGTTAAATCCGCAGCTGCCATGGTGTAATGGACAATATCACACTGCTGGATCTCAAGTCCTTATTAGAGCATAGTGACACTACATTTCTACAGTAGTCTGTTTCTGTTTGATGACAACCCGTGAGTTACTGGCACAGGATGAGATGAGGGAAAAGATTTAGTGCACGCTCTGGTCATTCTGTCTGTAATGGGCCTGATGGAGTCAGTCCCCAGGCTGGTGACTGTAAATATTTCAGCCATGTCTCACTGCAACATGAGCCGAGTCTTTTGCAGCTTTGTCATGGGCAGAGAGTGAAGTGAGATGCCTTCCAGTCAGCCATTACAGATCGGTCTGAACCACATCTCGTGTAACAGAGTCGCTGCTGGTATGCTGGGATCAAATCTGTGGTCGACCAGCGACACAGGGTTCTGGGCTCATGAGATTCCAGCGGGCTCATGGTGAGATGAACTGATGCATGGTCCGTTGACACAGACAAATAAGGCGTGCTGTCACATATCAGAGGCTGCGTGTATTTACTGTAACACTAAACCTTGTCCTTCATCCGCAGAGATACAGATGTCTTTGAAGCAGCAGCAGACAGGAGGTCACACTGGAATATGTGATGTGGTCTGCAGGAGGCAGACAAACAATCATGATCCTCACACATGTAAAGCTGAAGAGTGAGCTATCACAGTCACTTCTGGAAACAGATCATAAACATTAGGCGCTCCATGCAGGAATGTTTTTTATAAAAGGCCTATATATAATATATATAATAAATATAATATAATATATTTATATTTCCTTATCATTGAGCTGATGAGGGTTTTCAAGTAGCTCTGCTCACTGTAGACCACACACATCACCTGCACCATTAACTCACTCAGGTTCAATTCATCTAATTGTGCAATGTTCATTTCTTTATGTGCCATCCAGGTATATTGTATATATTCTGCTCACACTGTTTGTTTACACTGCACGTATTATTTCTATTCTATTCATATATTTATACTACCTTGTGTTTATTTAATATATAATAGGATTATCTTATCTTATTTTTTAAATTGCTCAGCAGTGAGTTTGTTTTCCTTTAAGAGCAGTGCCATCTAGTGGTCAATATGAAGAGCTGAATCATCCATTTCTTCTGTTGCAAAGGATTCACATTATTGAGTCATAACGTTAAAACAGGCGAAGTGAATAACATGATGAGACGTAAATAATATATGCAATAAATAATAAACTATATAATGAAAAGAATAATTTGAATAAATTAATAAATCCCAGATATATTTTGTTGAATCCATATTTTCAAGATGTTCAGAGTAGTAGTAATTAAACAGTTGAATACAACCTAACCAGATGAATCCTGTTTAAACATGTGACAAACTAAATATAAATTATGTATGAATGAATCTTTGAAGCATTGCATGAATCATGCAACTAAAACAGCACAACAACAAAACAGTGAGATCAAGCTCTCATTTATGTACAACAGTCAACCATATGTCACATTATTATTATTATCCTTTTAGTTTTGTGTAATTATATTGTGTGTCTGATATCACAGCTGGCTGTGTGCACCCTGACAAATGTCAACAATACGTCTCCAGTGTTTCCTAGTGGATCTTGTTTTATATGAGCATCTGATCCTGGGTGCTCGGGGAACACGGGCGTCAGAAGATCTGACAGCTGAGGCCGTGAAGCTCTGGAAACAGACCTGGAGGCATTAATCTTGAATGTCAGCCTCTCACTTTATCTGTGTGATCGTCGGGTCATTCTTTAGCACCATGATCACTCCTGGAGGCTGCTTCCATTATTCATACCTACGAGAGCACGGTCTGCTCCCTATTCTTGGAGATGAGATTTAATGAAGGGGGGCCATATTTAGGCTCTGGGCTCTTGATATGTCACCGGCTGGTGTGTCTGTACCAGTGGTCTCATCCCCCCTCTGTGCTTCATCCTCAGTGATGTGCGTCCCCTGTACCTGCGGATTAGACTCCAGGGAGGTGACAGCTGGTGCACCTCAGGATACTGAAGATGACTGTAGGACGAGCCTCCAATTAAATCAAATCACTTAAATGACATCAAAGTTCGGTTTTACAGTTGTACAAACAACTGGATCTGACAAAGCTTTAAAGTGCAGCACTGACTATGTTTATATGGACACAGATAATCAGACTATTGACCTCATTCTGAATAAGATATTTTTTCACTTATCATATTTCTGAAAGTATCTTCCATTCATATTCCTGTTTACATCTTACAGAGCAGAGTCTGATTTTAGCATCAAGCTGTTGGTTCCTGATGTTAATGTCTCAAAATGCTGTGAAAACCTGCTTAGATTGCTTAGATATACAATATATATATGTATACTACTATTACTGGAAGTACCACTATGTCATCACTGCTCCTTTTATCACTGTCAGACTTCCTCTTTTGTACAAATACTTAAAATATTTCTCCATTTATGTTAGACACTGTCTTTTCTCCTGAATGTTGTACATATTTTTATTGTGGTGATGTGCTCTCTGTCGATCCCTCACACGTGACTCGGTCTAATGGTTCTGCCTTTTATCTTACCGGTAAAAGAGTTATTACTCACTCTAGACAAGAGTTAAGATGATGTCATACCTTGTTAACCCCCATGAGACAAATTGTGATTTGCAAATATGGGCTATACAAATACAATTTGATTGATTGATTGACCTTCTGAAAAGGTTATCAGAAAATGCAGCAGTGTTTTATTCAGATTATTGTCTTAATTGGGTTAATATTGGAATATCGGCGGAAACATTGTCAATGATTTTGTGACAATTAGACAATGGGAGAAATGTTATTAATCTTTAATTATGTGGATATAGTTTGATTAGAGATCAGCTTTTATACAGCGTTCACACTGAGTATACTAAATTGAAAAGATTTCTCATACTGTCAGATTATTTATCTGATTGTATGAAGTCTTTGTTGATGGAATTGTTGTCCATACATCCTTGATGCTATATTTTTTTGCACATACAGTACAAGTACATGTTTTAGAAGACATCGAGGTCCTGATGGAGTATCTGCTGTATATACTCACCCAGCGGGATGTGAGAGCTGCCAGATGCATCGAACTGAAATGCCTCTTGTAGGTTCTTTAAAAGGATAGTTTGCTTATTCCAGGAAGATCAAAAGCCTCAGGAGCGCGGGTCCTGCTCCTCTGCTACAGTAGTAAGTGCAGGTAATTAGCCCGCAGTATTTGGCAGGTTGTGGTGTGAGGGGCTCGATGATGCCACACTCCCATAATTGGTCTCTGAGGCCCTGGTGGTGCACAGCTTGAAACACTGCGTACAAATTGAACCCCATGATGAAGATGAAGCTTGTGGACGATGTTAAATCAGTGACAGCTGACCACACAATGAGAGCACACTGAGAAAGTGAATCATTTCCAATGTGATCATCATCTTCTCTGCTGCGAACACGCTCTGTGAAAAATTCAACAAGCCTTTAAATAGCCTCCTGGACGTCCACTTACATATGATCGAGCTTTTTTCTCATTCGTGTCAGTTTTCTGTGCATGTGCAATGCATGAACATTTGTTCGAAATATGAAAAACCTAAGATC